TTTAAAGCTGACGGAACTGATAAATGAAGAGGTTAGGCTTCCTTACCTGTGAGATCATACTAGCCAGTGTGCATCAGAGCCAGGGTGCAGAGAGCAATCTGTGCAAGCTCTGGAGCAGGGCTCCCTCCAGTCCTTTGTGTCTAGCATGTAGGTGAAGCCTGGGCCCTGATAGAGGAAGTACGGTGACTGTTAACTTGACCACCGCTGGGGATTTCAGGAGATACTGATGAGCCTTTTAGTGACAAGCCAACGTGCCACATGTGGACCCACAGAGGTTGCTAGAAAAGAGGAAGACCAGGAGAGGGACCTGTTGAAGGAGGAGGGGAGCAAATGATAGAATGTATGAGAGAAAAATGGCAAAGGATGGAAGAAAAGGAAGAAGGTCAGGGAAAGATGCTGAGGAACTGGTACAAGGCATTCTGGGAGGAAGTAGAGGTGATGGGAAAGGAGAAAAGATGTGAGTGGGAATGAAAAAAGTCCCATTGGTATTCCTCCTATGCATCCTTTGCTTGGTCCCAGGAGCAGAAGAGGTGGGCCAGGTTGAGGGCAAGTGGTGTGCACACAGAAGCCAGCTGCTGCCATCTGCTCTGGGTCGAAGGGGGGCTCCGTTAGCGGTGGCTGCCTCCTCCTACTCCTTCTCACTTCCATTATTACAGGGCGAAGCTTCTCTCTGCCCAGTGACCCTCTGTGACCTGGCTTGCTCAGCGCTGCCCTGGGAATAAGAAAAGGGATTGGGGAGGAGGCAGGTGGAGAACGTGGTGACAGAGAAAGAGGGCCAGAGCAGATGCAGGCTGAATGGGCCTTTTTCATCTTTGTCTATCTGCCCAATCTGTTCTCGGCTATTTCTCTGGTTCCAACCCCGGGAGGGGCCCTTCCCAGCAGTACAATTCTCTTCTCTTTTCCTCTCTCTCTAGGCCCCTCCTTGAAATTTCTGACAACCTCAAAGTGTCATCTTTTGTTCAAGTTTCTCTCCTCCCATTATCTGTGAGCCTACTCTAGAAATGCAGGCCTGGGGAAGCATCTTTGCCATGGCTGGGAAAGATGCATCTTTGCCTTGCAAGTGCCCACCAGCCTGTTGGGAAGGCTGCTGAAAGGTCAGAGAGAAGGCTGACTGTCAGCACTGTGGGAGAGAAAAGAATGTAGGCACAGTCCAAGATCTGGGTGGCACCTAATGATCTCTGTTCTCACCACAGAGAAATTGATAGCAGATGTCCTTCGGCAGGACAACCCCAGGTATGTGAGCCAAATGGTGATTTGTAGGGCCAAGGCATCCATACGTCCAGTGCGTTTGTCTGACTGGGGTTGCTGTCCAACCTTCCTTTGGAGCAAATGATTAGGGACCATCAGCAGGGGAGAGGCTGGTGGAATGGGTGAGACTGGGTGATGTGTACACAAATCCACTCACTCTTCTTTCTGGCTAAGGGGCCACAGACAATTCACTTCCTGTTTTTTTTAAAATTGTTATTGTAAAGGTGATGTACAAAGGGCTTACGGTTACGTATGCTCAGCCTATTTCTCTTGCCTTCTTGGGGCAATTGTTATTGTTTTCTGTAACTAACCTCTTTCTTTCCTTTAACTTCAGTTCCTCTTGCTCTGCAAGTCTTTTCTGGTCAGATTGATGGTTAAATATACTCAAAGCTATCTTGAAAAAGAAATAGACAAAAAAAACCCTCCTTTGACCTTCTGTTTCCTCCCAGCTTTGTTGTCCAAGCTCTACTCCACTCCTTTCTCGGCTAAATCTTATGCAGTATTATCTGCTAATCCTTACAAAGACCCACCAAACTTGGGACCTAGCTTAATAGAGGTGACTGTACCTTATCTAGCTTGGGGCCAGACCATTTCATAGCAGGGCTGTCTTGATAAATACTTTAAAGGAAGGTAGAAATTTAGTATTCTTTCCTTATCTGTAACTACATTTAACTTGCTCTAAGCATCTATTTTTGTCCAACAAAAAGCCAAATAAGATCTGATAGGATCGACAAGCTTGGAACTCTCTTATTCTAAGAATTTAGTTTCTTCTGGCTTAACAACAACAAGGGACTATTCTGAGTCATTTTCCAGTTCATCATCTAAATAAGTGCTATGATGGAAGGCCCTCCTCGTTTCCTTTCCTCTCCGCTCCCTAATTGCAGGGAAACTGAGGAGAGGGCAAGTGCTGTATGACCTTGCTGAGTGATATCTGAAATTGCTGATCTCATAGAGATTGAGACTAGGATAGTCTCTGGGAGAGAAAGGAGGAAGGAATCAGGAAAGGTTGATTAAAGGGTACTGAATTTGAACTCAAGACTTTGCACTTGTGATTTTTAGCTTTTTTTTTTTTTGTCGGTCATGGGGCCTGAACTCTGGGCCTGGGCGCTGTCCCTCAGCTCTTCAGCTCAAGGCCAGTGCTCTACCACTTGAGCTACAGCGCCACTTCCGGTTTTCTGGTGGTTTACTGGAGATGAGGGCTTCATGGACTTTCCTGCCCGGGCTGGCTCTGAACTGTGATCCTCAGATCTCAGCTTCCTGAGTAGTTAGGAGCCACTGGCGCCCGGCTGTGATTTTTAGCTTTAAAGAGAATTAAATCTCTGTGATTTAAAGCTTAGCTCCAAGAGCTCCCGAAATCTCCTCCTCTTTTGTCATGTCTCTGTAGCTTTTATAACTATTCTTCTAGTATAAACATTAAAATACCTGGTTTGAATCAAGTATAGGGGATCATACCTGTAATTTCAGATCTCAGGAAGTTGAGCCAAGAGGATCACAAGCTCAAAGTCTACCTGGGCTATGTAGTGAGTCCCTGTCTCAACAATTCTGAAAGACAAAGATGATAATGACTGTGTGTGTGTGTGCGCGCGCGCGTGCCTGTGTGTGTGTGTGTGTGTGTGTGCGCGCGCGCGTGCATGCAAGCCCATCATGGGGCTTGAACTCAGGGCCTAGGTGTTGAGCCTAAACTTTTTTGCTTCAGGTTAGCACTCTACCACTTGAGCCACAGCTTCAGTCCCAGCTCTTTTTTGTGTCTACACTTAATTAGACCTAAGAGTCTCATGGACTTTCCTGCCCCAGCAGGCTTTGAATCATGATGCTCAGATCTCAGCCTCCTGAGTAGTAGGATTATAGGTATGAACCACTGGCTTCTGGCTATAATAACTTTTTTTAATTAGGAGAAATAAGTGATGCAGGAAAAGCACAAACAAACATTTAAATACAGGATGGCACCAATAATCTGTTGAATGACCCTGGTAGGTGCACTGGCCTGGTACATATTGGTGGACCTCAGATATCCAAGTCATCTATCATCTGGAATTAAGATTTTTCAAACTTGCGCCCTCCTAGTGAAATTTGGAACAGTCATGAAAATGTCCACTGGAGTCATTCCTAACCATGCAGAACTCCTCTGTTCTATGGGTATCTGGACTTCCTCTCTAGACAAGCTTCCTTTCTAGAAAGCTATGGCTGTCATTGGATTAGAAAAGAAATGCTTTGAAGGTTAAATATTTATTTTTAAAAAAGCTTAAGGTAAAAACATTAACCAGAAGCATGGTCTATTAATAAGAATTATTTCCCTATTGACTTGCTGCTTATCTTGTACTGGCTAGAAGCTTTGCTTGGCAATACATCTGACACCGATTTCATAAGGATGAAAGGCTGTGTTTATCATTAAGTTATTTGGTCAAAAATTATAATCAGGGACTGGGAAGGTGGCTCAGTGGTAGAGTGCTTGCCTTGCATGCATGAGGCCCTGGGTTCGATTCCTCAGCACCACATAAGCAGAGAAAGCCGGAAGTGGGGTTGAGGTTCAAGTGGTAGAGCGCTAGTCTACAGCTGAAGAGCTGAGGGACAGCGCCCAGGCCCAGAGTTCAGGCCCCTCGACCGACCAAAAAAAAAAAAAATTAAAAAAAATTATAATCAACCCCAATTAAAACTTATAATCTGCAAGGCCAATCTTAAAGAATGCATGGAATAAAACATCAAAATACAGGGCCTCTAGAGGTTTCTAAAAGAGGCAGGGAATCTGTCCATGGGGCACAGCGGCATTGCTGGCTGAATTTCCCTATGGCGTGGGCTTCCAGGTGGCTTTCTGACGCAGTGGAGGCTTGGCTGGGAGGCAATCACATTCCTCCCCAAGTTGTCTTATGACAGATTGTGTTTCTCAGGATGTGTACTTGGATTAGGTTAAGGAATAGATTGCATATTTCAACCGTGGTCTAAATGCGCAACATAGGCTCACCAGGACCCTGGGGAAAGACAACTCTGCCTTAGCGGACAGATGATAATCACTGAAGACTTCTTAGAAGTTGAGACGAAATACATATTTGCCATTGTTATGACTTCATAAACACTACTCTCCAACGTCACTATGGTCTTTGGTCAAGGAGCATGGCTTGCTTTGAGGGTACCCATGTGTCACTGAGAAGCGTGGAGGAGCAGTGGGCTTGGACTCTGTGTGTGTGTGTGCGTGCGTGTGTGTGCGTGCGTGCGTGTGCGTGTGTGCGTGTGCGTGTGTGCGTGTGTGTGTGTGCGTGTGTGTGCGTGTGTGCGTGTGCGTGTGTGCGTGTGTGCGTGTGTGTGTGTGCGTGTGCGTGTGTGTGCGTGTGCGTGTGCGTGTGCGTGTGTGTGTGTGCGTGTGTGTGCGTGTGTGTGTGCGTGCGTGTGTGTGTGTGCGTGTGTGTGTGCGTGTGTGTGTGCGTGTGTGTGTGCGCGTGTGTGTGCGCGCGCGCGCGCGCGTGTGTGTGCGCGCGTGTGTGTGCGTGTGTGTGTGTGCGTGTGTGCGTGTGCGTGTGTGAGTGTGTGTGCGCGTGTGTGCGTGTGCGTGTGTGTGTGTGCGCGTGTGTGTACGTGTGTGTGTGCGTGTGTGTGTGCGTGTGTGCGTGTGTGTGTGTGCATGTGCGTGTGTGTGCGTGTGTGCGTGTGCGTGTGTGTGTGTGTGTGCGCTCACATTATCACTACCTTTTCCTTGTAAGGTCTCTGAATATTAGCTTCTTCCTATTTCTCTTCTCTTCTGCCTCCTCCCACATCCACAGATGGAGTGGCTGCCTTCCGTGCTTTCTTGAAGACGGAGTTCAGCGAGGAGAATCTGGAGTTCTGGTTAGCCTGTGAAGAATTCAAGAAGACCAGATCAACTGCAAAGCTGGTCTCCAAGGCCCATAGGATCTTTGAGGAGTTTGTGGACGTGCAGGCTCCGAGAGAGGTGTGTTGTCTATGGTGACTACCTTGCCAGATCTCTGTTTAAGACTCTTAGCTTGCATCTGTTTCCTCAGAAGATTTCAGAGATAGGTTTTCTTTCACTACACTGAGCCTCACTGCTCTGTGGCTCTTGATGAAAAAGGGATTTTTTTTTTTTTTGGAGCTGGTCCTGGGGCTTGAACTCAGGGCCTAGATACTATCCCTGAGCATTTTTGCTCAAGGCTAGTGCTGTAGCACTTGAGCCATGGTTCCACTTCCAGCTTTTTGGAGATAAGAGTCTCATGGTCTTTCCTGCCCAGTCTGGCTTTGAACCTCAATCTGCAGATCTCCGCCTCCTGAGTAGCTAGGCTTGAGCCACGGGTACCATGCTGAAAAAGAGATTATTTCTAAGGAGCAGAAGCTCAGGGTTTCTATCAGAGGGGGGCCATTAAGAGAATTTGGCTGTCGATGCTGGCAGGAACTATGTTGCTAGAGGGACTTTGCAAGTATAGATGTCATTGAGTCTCTGTTTGTTTTTCTATTAAAAGACAGCATAGTTTAATGGAATAAATATTTGTTTTGGGATTTTGTTCCAGGCTCAGCTCTACCACTAACTAGCTAGCTGTGTGATTTTGGTCAAGTTAGTCACTCTTTCTGGGCTCCTTCCCTGCCCCCATGTAAAAGGCAGGATTATTGTCTTTCAAGACCACTGTGACTATTTAGAGATGAAGAACCTAGTTAGTATTTGTCACTATTTATTAACAGTCATTTAGTTGTGATAGTTATATACAATAAGGTGAATTGATTTGTTATACAAAATTTTACTTGGGAGCTTTTAACTGAAGAGCTGTATTTGCTGCGTCTGAGCTCAGGCACACTGCTCACCTAGAGCTCTTTGCTTCTGTTTTGACTGGTTATACATGAGGTCTTTCCTGGCTATGATGTCCCCTATGATGTTAGTGGGAATAGAGATGTACATTTTAACTAGAGTCTGGATCTTTAGGGCACCTGCTCCCTTAGTAGTTAAGAAGAGAAAGAGGGCTAGTTTATGAGAATGGCCATTACCATCTGGCTTAAGTCTAATCCCATTCTGATGTGAAGACCCTAGGATTAAGAGTGGACTGATGTGGAGGGTTTTTGTTTTGTTTTTTGCCTTGGCTCTTGTTACTTAGACAAGATTTTTTTAATCTCTTTTCTTCAATGTCTTACTTAAAAATAAAAATTCAGAATGTCTGGCCTTTAGGCCACACAGGACTCTTGCTGTCATCCCAAAAGACGAGTCTCATGGCCCAGTTTGGAAAGCACAAATAATCTTAAAGACATAAGATGCTATCATGAATGGTTATTACGTAGCTGAGTTGCCAGATGCTATGGTCCTCCAGGGCCTATGACCTTGCTCTCTGTTTGTGTCTCCAGGTAAACATTGACTTCCAGACCCGAGAAGCCACGAGGAAGAATATGCAGGAGCCATCCCTGACTTGTTTTGACCAAGCCCAGGGAAAAGTACACAGCCTGATGGAGAAAGACTCTTATCCCAGGTTCCTGAGGTCCAAAATGTACTTAGATTTGCTGTCCCAAAGCCAGAGGAGGCTCAGTTAGACCTCAGATGGAGACTCTTGGAAATCACTGGCTTTTTCCTCCCCTTGCTGCCAAGACCATATTCTAATGTAAAGTGTCATAGGTGTTCAAAGGCGGTGACATTCGGGAAGGGAGACTAGGGCTGAGGAGGGGATGAGGAGCCATTCCAAAGTATGACCCAGCTGCCAGAGCTTGGACTCTCATCCATTTACCCACATTTGTGTTTTGGTTAGTGGTAGCACTGCCTGCAGTTACCCCTCTCTGGGTGGGTTAGCAGCCTGCCCTTCCTAATGCCTTGGGTCATCTCCACTGAGAAGGCAGATTTGCTGCGCTGGGCTAATCTGTAAATAATGCAAATGCAACTTCCACCACCTCCACATCCTCATCATTAGGATTCCTGACTCTTCACGTGTCCTTTCCCACTGAGAGGAGAAGTAGAAAGACTCAGGCTTTCACTCATGACTCCTTATCACCATGGAAGGCCCTCCCCCCTCCCCAGGTGTGCTGGGACCTATCAGCCTAGAAGAATTGTCTGTTCAGAATCTCTGGGAGAGAGTGTAAACTCCCTGGAGTCAGATTGTCTTCCATATCCGCTGGACCAGTGTGACAACCTAGGATCACTACCATCTTAGCCTGGGAAACTCAAAGAACTTTCTTACCCTTGTTATTTCCAGGAAGGGTCTTGAGAGATTTCCTTTGTGACTTCTAAGTGGAGCTATCATTGGAAAGAGATGACTCACAAATCTTCCTAAATTCTACCAAGAACTTTTCCAGAAGTTGAATGACCAGGGAATGTAGCACCATAGATTTGTGCAATGGAGTTGCGTATAGTCTGTCTGTTGCTTAGTATGTTCTTTGCCCTTGCCTCCCAGTGGTACCACACATCATGGATCTCTTAGGATGAAAGACAGCATGACAAAAGGAGGTGAATTCTCACAGTATGACAGCTCTCTAAAACTTCCCTTGTTCTCCACCTCTCCTGTACTACCACGCAGGCCATATAATTATGATGGGGGTAGGGGAGGATGGGAACTTAGGCTGAAATTCTCTTTCCCAGCTTGCTTCTTGGTCTCTGGGCCTCAGGATTGGACATGAAATAGGGAGATCACTGCGAACATCTGGCTGTGAAGATCTTCCTAAGATGCTTTCATGAAACCCCGATCTTGGAAATGTGTCTGGAGACTCTTCCTTGGAGAATGCATGAAACAACACAGAAACTTCTCTTTGCAACCTAAGGTGGGAGGGGGAAGAAAACCTCAGTTTGCTGCACAGTAGTACCAAGGAAATGAATCCTCAGCACAGAAACAAGAAGGTGTAAGAAGAGCCTGGAAAATGCTAGTGTCTAGGTGAACTGAGCCATGGAGCATGTGCTGGAGGTACTCCTCAGATAATTCACTACCAGTGGACTTGGATTCATTGCATAGCTACAAACCTTGTGGCTTGATTGAACAGCACATGGTTAGGCTTCTCTGGAGTGCAAGTGGTTGAGAATTGGGCTGATCCGCTCTCCTTCCATGGCATGTTGGCCTTTTCAGATTATGCTGGTATGCCAGGGTGTGCATTCTTCTCTAGTAACTCAAAGCACTGCTTTCCTTTTTGAGCCCAGCTAGACAAAGGCAAGCAGGCCTTTGAGTTCCATTAGGTTAACACCTACTGCCTATGTCATGGCATGTGATCATCTGTGAGTGGGAATTGGTGTGTCTATATGAACCTCAAGGAGAGAAAACAAACAAACAAACACCTGTTTCCTATGCCTCCTACTGAAGATACTTGTACAAGTTCACATTTAAGGACTCTGAATCCTAGTTAGATCAGTAGCATCTTCCAGGCCTGGTAAAACAAAACAAACAAAACATTCTTAACGAAAGCTGCCAGAATTGATGTAACGATTAAATTCTCCAACAGGGTATTTTTAAAATGCTGTTTACATATGAATTGTGTACGTTCTGCCAACTCTCTTCTGTCAAATATGAGGTGCGTATCGGTTGAACTGCACAGTTATGAAAATGTCCAGAGAAGGGCCTTTGCAGAATCCTGAAGAGAAGGGTCTAACCAAGACCTATCTGTTGACTTCATTTAGGGCCTAGAGTTCTTGCCACGGATTGGTGGAATGCAGGCTGCAGATGATGATGTCATGGTGCCCTGGCAACTCGCTCCCACAGTGGGAGGTGGGAAGGACCAAGCTTGGGTATCCTGAATTTTGCAGCTAGACAAGGGCATGTCATGTGGGTGTATGTCTGTGTGTAGAGGAACATAATAGTTCTACTTATGGCACTCCTGTAGAGCATCTTGTGTGTGTATGCGTGTGTGTGTGTGTGTGTACATGTGACAATTGTGAGCACTGGACTAGTAACTGCAGATGTGATCTTCCCAGGGGGTGGCTTTCCTTACAGCTTGTACTCTCTGCTTCCTACAAAAGGCAAAGAGCTCCCTGCTCTGATGCCTACTTTTAGGCACTTTGGTCATGCCAATATCCAGATTTTGTTCTGTGATTTAAACAAAGAGAAATGTTTACAACATCTAGAGCAATAGCCAAGCATACCTCATCCTTGACCTTCCATGTTTCCCAGCCCCGCCCCTTCTCCCCTCTCCTCCCTATCAGCCTCATCTGCCTCACTTACTAGGCTGGCATCTCAGATGCTGGTTCCATCTGCCGTCTTCCTGCTCCTCATGCTGAGCATGTGCTGATGACCACCTTCCGGACTCAGAGCAAACCCGGGCAGCAGGATCGCTGAGCTGTGCGTTTCAGATCTGCTCTCGATTGCTCAGTCTCACTGGAGCATGGATCCATTGCGTGGCTGGTGTTAGATTTGAGTTGCCCTTGGTGGACAAGTAGAATATAATTGTCAACAGCCATTTATAGCCCAGATACCTCTGAGGTGAGTAAAGATAATCTTTTGAGGTAGTGTTTCTTATAAAATGTGAGTGTGCACAGGGATTGAAAAAAACAAACAACAAAAAACAAAAAACAACCAAACAAAAAATGCTCCCCCTCCATACCCCTCCCCAAACCCTGTCAAAATGCTGATTTCCAGGTTCTATGCCCAGAGATGCTGAGCCTGTAGACTAAGGGTAGAACCCAGAAATCTTCATTTTTCCATAAGCCTCCTGAGTATACGTGTAGTGGCCTGTGGACTTTGAACAAAGATGGTCTAAGAAATGGGCTCTCAATCTTGGCTGCTCATTAGACTCACCTTGGAGCATTCAAACCCCAGTTGTCAAGAAAGGTACTGGTGGCTAATGCCTGTAATCCTCACTACTTAGAAGCCTGAAATCTGAGGATCATGGTTCAAAGCCAGCCAAGCCGGAAGTCCATGAGACTCTTATCTCTGATTAACCACTAGAAAAAGCCAGAAGTGGAGCTGTGGCTCAGGATGTACAGGGCCAGACTTGAGTGAAAAAGCTAAAGGACAGTACCCAGACCCTGAGTTCAAGTTCAAATTCAAGTACTGGCATAAAAAAAAAAGGAAAACCACCCCTCCCATCCAACAACAACAACAACAAAAACAATTGTTCAGGTTCCACCCCAGAACAGTGTTAGCAGGGATCCAGGTGGCAGTAGTCTCCATTGTGGTAAGGAAGCACTGGCTTAAGGAGAGGAGAAACAGAGTCCAGAGCAGCACATGGCCGTGGGTCTGAGGGCACTACCGCCCATCCAGATACTCAAAAGCACAATAACCAGGACTCCCACCTACTCTGGAGTTGGACTCCTGGCGAAAAGGCCTCTGTGCCCACTCAGGCTGACTTGCTCCTTTGAGATCAATGCTTGGACCCAAGCTACACGCCCTGGTTGGCAGAGGTGGGCTAAAGGTGGCGAGTGCAAGGGGCACTTAACTGAGAGAAGCTTTGCTGTGCTTTCCCGGTCTTGCTCTCAGCGCTTCCCCGAGGCTTTATGGCCTCATGGGCTGTGTCTCCCATTGGTTCGTTTTTATGTACTTGTGTGTTTGGTCATGTAGTGTCAGGCTGTGCCGCTGTACCCAAGGCCATGCAACAGGGTAGCTGGAGTTCAGGTAGTGAATGCAGAGTGTTCTGGTAGTGATAATAGTAGGTCTACAACAACTTCTAAGTTTTTTGGTGGAGGGTGTCACGTGCTGGGGAGTGTGAATTCAAGACCACATTATTCCCTCTTCGGTCCCCATCAGACAGGCAGCAGGGAAGCTGCTAGCTGGCTTTACTCTCTGGTGCTCTCCCCAGAACTTGCTGCTCTGACGAACCAAAGCTGTGAAAGGGGGTTTTGCCCAGGTTGCAGGGCCAGCCTCTGGGTGGGGCAGGGCCTGTGTGTACAGCAGGATCTTGGTGCGCCCTGGATCCTCAGGCTCTGGACAATGAAAGGAAAGCATAAGCCTTTTGTGCTGCTGACAGCAGGAGGAGGCTTGGCATGGGAAAAGCTAAAGAGAAAGGAACGAGGAAGGAAGGACAAGCTGCTGGCATGGTGTCCCATCCTTCCATGTCCCACAAGGACAGATGACACGGGGGCACATTCAGAAGCAGAATGGTCTCCCATCAAGAGGAGTACCCAGATCGCTGCCTAGCCTGTCCATCCCCACTTCCAAGCCAGACAGAGGAACTGTTGGTTTCCCATCCTCGACCTTCAATCTGCCACATGTCAGTCCACCTTTGATCAGAACCCCTCTGCATTCAAACAAGACAGGTGGCAATGTGACTCCTGGCACAGAGAGCCTGTGCCACTGTGCCACTTGGCAGGAGACCGGGGAGAAAGAGCCAAGAACTGAGATGTCTTCCTGTCCTTGTGGCCTCTCAGGACTCTACAAGATGCTGTGGGTCATGATGGGCGACTTCAGAATTAGGGCCACTGGCCTCCGTGAGTGTGAGATGTGTTCCCTCTCAATAAACTGTCCCTTTCTTCATTCTTACCCCTTCCAGTCCTTCTGCTCCCTCCTCTCCGCCAGATGTGAAAAGGTGGCTGAGCTCCGTGTGTGCACCGGCCACAGTAGTTTTAGCTGCGTCTCTAGCAAGCACAACAGATCTGTAGCAGCTCATCTGCCATATAAACCGCTTGGCTGACGGAGTCGTCATTGAGTTGTTTCATTACTATGTAAAGTGGAACAATGTCATTCACCTTTACTATAAACAAGGCTGTGAGAACATAATAAACAGAATCTGAACAAGCTGCCCTTTGCTCTCTGCCCACATTTCTGGCCGGCTGACTCTTTATGAGGGAACTTTACAGAACACGTGGACTCCTGAAGGGAGCATGCAGCCTTAGTCTGCAGCGGCTGGCACGGGGCTGGCCACCAGGCAAAACAGGAGTGTGGGTGGAAATGAGATGCGGATGGTCTGGGAAGAGTGAGGGGTGGAGGGTGGTTCTGGGTTATGAGAGTAGCTTTGAAACGGCGAAGTGC